GCTCTCCGGGGGCCGGCAGTGCGGGGGCTGGAGACGACGACACGGACCGCCTCATCTTGGCGATCGAGGCGTTTGATGATGAGATGCCCTCTCCCCCCTTGCCTGCGTGGTTGCGAGCGAGGTGGGAGAGAGGGCGGGGCCGGGCGTGGCATGACGCCCGTGTGGGACCGAACTCTCTCTTCTACGACCTCCTGCAGATGTATCGCTCCGAAGCTTATCCCCTATCCTTGGTACTTGATCCGCGCGGCTTGACCGAGAATGAGCGGGACTACCGGCTCTCGTGGCTGATGCTCACCCTTTTGGGTGCCTTGAGTATTGGCCACCCCACAGGACCGGAGGCTGTGGAGGCGGCGACGCAGATTTGGATGCGGGTCACGTCAAGCCTCGTGTTCCAACTCGTGGGGATGGGTCTCTGGCCGTGGGCAGTTTACGTCCTCTTGCACGCCCCAGAGACGCCTGCTCGCACAGACGCCGTCAAGGATCTGGTTGGCCGTTTCGGATGGGCCTTTCAACCAGGGAGCACTGACTGGAGCTTCCTGGTCGACGAGTTGGGGGTCCCGGCCGCCTGGCTGGAAGACGCACGAGCCACCTATTTGAGGGCGCAGGGCGTGCTCTTCCTAGACGAGGGGAAAGGTGCCTCGGCGGACGACGCGCTGGGGCACTTCCTGCGCGCGGGCGACACAAAAGCGGCGGCGGAACTTATCATGAACGTTGTTGCCCCCCGCCTATTGATTGACGACCGCGGTCCCGAGCTCCACGCGCTGCTGGCAGGCTTTCTGGGGCCCGAGCGGGGAGAGCTCACAGATGCGACCATCAACAGCGGGAATAAGGCCTGCTGGGCGTACTTGGAGGTCTTGGAGGCTCTTCGTCACCTTGAGGACTCTTGGGGAGAGAAAGAGGCACCAGCGCCCGCTCACTTCGAAGAGCAATTGATGGCGATCCTGCCGAGCTTGGTAGACGGTGGTCAAGGCGGCGATCGAAATGGCTGTTTCAACTGGTGCGCAGAGCGACTGGATCCCGGAGAAGTGGGACGGGTGATTGATATGTATGCGCAGCGGGGGAGCCGAAGTGCACCTGACTCAATGCCTCCGCCTCTGCATGCAATTCGGAATATGGTACTGACGGACGTGATTAAGAAACTGTTTTTCTTCCATCGTCTGCAGGCCAGGGAGAGGAGCATGTGGGAGGAAGGGATGGCGCCGCGGAGCTGCCTGCCTGGCAAGTCTCAGTTATGCCGACTGGAGGACATGTGCCAGGATTACGCACTCCAACAGGTGGGGTGCCTGACAAGCGACTTCATCGCCAGGCGACTCGATGGGGATGAGGTGTTTTAGGCCATCCATCACAACGACGCAAAGTAGTGTAGACATGATCTTATTCTAAGGCGGATGGGAGGGCGCAAACGATGAGGATCACAAGACCTGATTAAGTAAGGCGAAAGAAAATTGGACTGTACCAGACCGACTGACATCAGTAGCGGTGTGTCTCTTCTTCTCCGGTTCCTTGACACTTTTACACCGACTGAGAGACGACCGCCTGTGCGGCCCTCTGGCCCCCTAGTCACCCCAGCACACTGTCTCAAATCCACGAGCTCCCCCCCGTCCCTCCTCCACCAGAACCGCCCTGTGCCGCGGGCTGGCTTCCCGCCGCATTCATCATGGCGCCGCCTACTTTCCGTGCCAATCCGGGGTTGCGCTGCATAAATTGCGCGGCTTCTTGCTCAGCCGTGGTGGTTGGGGCGTTGGTGGCGTACTGAGGGTACTTACACAGGACGACGGTGTTAAAGAGCGCGTTGGCTATCATGGCAGCACCCGCAACCTTTCCGGTGATCCCGAGGGAAAAACAGAGGACGCCGACGAAGATGAGGAAAGTGGCCCGGCTTTTGGCGTCGTAGAGGAAGCCAAAGTTGTTGGCAATGTGCTTCGCCACCCTACGCAAATTGACCTCAAAGCAGCACAACAGGCAAGAAAAAGCGCTAAAGGGCGTGAAGAAAAATAGTCATTGATATGAGAGTGAGGGACATCGTGCAATGAAGTCGTTGGGGAAAATGTGTCGGCGGCAGATTCAAAGAGAGGCAATGGGGGTGAGCGAATGGATGAGAACTATGAACCACGCAAGGCGTAAATTTCGGTTTTCTCGGGTATGTCACAGGCTCACTCGCACAAGCTAGGAGAGGCCACTTACAGAACGTAAAAGGCAAGCACCCACGAGGCAGGCGTGGCCCCGGCAGGAACTATGACCGTCAACACGGCAGCCGCAGACATGAGGATACAAAGCGCAAAATTTGCCACGCGCATGTAAATCACTAAAGGGGGAGTTTGTCCGCTTGGAGGCTGCGGTTGGGTCGCGGCTTGAGGCTGGAGTGTGGCGGGCTGTATAGGCACGTGCGAGGAGTGCGGGGCGGCGGGCGACGGGGGAGAGGCGGCATTGGCGTTCAACCATGCGGGCTCATCCGCTCGCGGTGGAGATGGCGGCCTGTTCCTGCCTGCGCCAGGTCCTCCGTCACCTCCGCTCTGATGGAAGAAAACATGCGCGACGAGATAAGCGGGGTGCATTTCGTGCATCTCCTCCTGACCTGACGAATTACTCGGCGGAGGAAGCTCAGTCGCAAAGTGTGCCTTACCTGCGTAGCGAAGGGATTTACTTCTCCGCTGCCGCTCATCTAACGCAACGCAGACCTGAATATGGCAGTGACGGCTAATTCACTGAAGAGAAAACCGAGTTAAAGAGGTGTGCCGCAAAGAAAGGGGAAGAGGGAACGCAAGGCGGGTGCTAGCACTCTTTAAGCGAGTTCTTGGAGTCGCCGACACGGGCAGCAGCTGGAAACCAAGTCGACAAATAAAACTGAGCTCATAAAAGAAAAGGCTTCGTGCAGGGGGTCAGAGTCCATGAAAATTAGAGCTGGTGCGAAGGAAATTGGTATGAAAAAAGGAGCTGTGCTGCACGAGACCTCTCGCAGGCGGCATCTGAGCACACAGAGAGGAAAGAGGACGGTTTGACCATATAGCTGACAACAATATCCGAAGTCCCAACATTTTCTGTTCGGTTCATACACGTAAAAGGAATAATAAGCGACGTTGTTCCATCAAAATGTGCCTTGTGGTGTCTTCCTTTGGGTCGTTCGAGTTGCCCTGTACAGACTACCAGGAACGCGGCATCGGACAACCTTCAAATCCTCTCTTGTTGAACCTGCTCATTTATACATATTAAAGCCAGCTTTCACACAACTCAAATACATTACATCGCTTTGCCAGCGATCTTTTTGTTGTGCCCAGGATATGAAGTCCCTAATTTGCACTGAAGTCGCTGATTACGAACTTGGAGATGGGGAGAAAAGAAAGCGAGCAGTGAACAGAAATGATGGCGCGAGGGCTGCGCTTGCTCTCGGAAAATGAGTAACTAGACGTAGAGCTTCGTGTCATGTCTTCAATGCCCTGCATTCGGGACAAACACGCAGGGTAACCGCACCGCGTCACCGTACCTATCGCTTCGCCTACCTCTCCCGGGCTGGCTCTCCGCTTGATTTTATATTCATGTTGTAGAAGGATCCTGAGGAGAGAGACCATGCAATAGCTTTATGAGAGAATGTACAGGTAGACAAAGTGATAGCGGCAAGAGTGCGGGTCACGGGCCGTAAGGGGTCTTCGTCCGCTGCTTTCTGCCCTTACCCGCCATCAAAACCACAATCGTGAAGCCTTGAGCAAGGACACGGGCCCGCATCATGCGCTGCGACAAATGTTTCTGTGTTGGAATCAATACAATGTGAATACGTGTACATCTCGGGCGCCAAATAGTTTTTCCTGCCGGAAATGATGAATGTGTTTGCCTACTCCGATCTGGTGCGCATCCGCTGCGTTGCCGCTTCACAAGCCATAAGAGCTCAAATCCTGCCTTAAATTGATTCCCCGG